AAACCCTAAACACTAAACCCTATACCAGCCTACCTAGACCCTCCTCGTTCCTGCATGCACAAGCCCCTCCTGTAACGCAGGTAAAGAGAGGCTTGCACACATTTCTTCATGGTATGTACGTCTACTGTGTACATGTGGTGTTTAGGAGTTCTACGTCACACGGTACTTGCAGAAGCACTGCCACCTCATCGGCCAGACCTAGCTGCAGCAAGCCATCACGGAGGTGAACCTGGGCAAGGTGCAAGGGGGTCCATCGGGCAATGTGATCTTGCTGTTCGACTACAACCTGTGGGGCCAGGCGATAATGTCCTCGCACGTCAGACGACCGCCTGTCGCCAAGAGGCCAATGCAGAAAGTCCGGAAAGCCGTGCAGGCGGCTCGAGCTCAGCCAGAGCAAGTGGGACTCTTGCCGGCGCACGATGTGCTGGTCATCATAGACGGCGGGCGTTCGGATGAGACTTTGGATCTCGGAACGGGCGGGAATCGCCGGAAATTCCATGCCGGGCGGACTCATCGCGACGCAATTCGGATTCCGGCCATGTGATTTTGTGTTCAATAGCTGGGGTTCGGCCCATCTTCGCATTTCTGAAAGCATTCGGCGATCAAACGACGTCAGCTATGCTAGCACGTTTTTAGCACCCTGAAGCCGCTTCCTAAACCCAAACCTCAAAAAGGGTTCGACCGAAGGCCCTACACTCTAAACTATGAATCCCTAAACATAAACCCGAAACTCAAAACACCTCTCTAAACCCTAACCTCTAAGCACCTCTCTAAACCCTATACTCTAAACACCTCTCTAAACCCTAAACCCTAACGACTGAAGGATCAAGCTCGTGAGTTCACGCCGGGCGTCGGTCCTATCCCGACCACCAACAACTATGGCAATATCGAGGAACTTCGGGCTATACAAGTTCTGTCCGCGTTTCATACAGGTTGTGCAGACCTCTATATAGCGTAGGGCCTAAATAAGTACCAATTCGTTTTTTTTGGGGGGAGGGATTGTTTAATTAGGTAACATGTTTGGGGTATATAGGGTTCAGGGTTTGCTCCATATTCCTTATCATCCCAGAGGTTATCCTTTAGTTCTCCATGATACCGGACAAGTAGGCTTTGAGGGCTTAAAGGCTTCTCGGATATGGGTTTGCTTTTCGGTGGGGGTTTGAGGATTCTGGCGGTTTAGGGCCCTAAACCCTAAACCCTAAACCCTAAACCCTAAACGTGTCAGGTTCAGGTTGTAGCGTTTGAGATTGAACCGGGGGGGGGCGACCAATCCTTCATGGGAGATGCTGGTCGTAGAAACCCACTGTACACCTGGTTTAGGGTTTAGGGTTTAGGGTTTAGGGTTTAGGGTTTAGGGTTTGCTGGCTCCCATCGGAGGGAGGTAAACGTGGGGTCTGATACAGGGTTTGGGGTTTGGGTTTTTGGGGTTTCAGCGTGCAGGGTTTTGAACAAGGAGTGGCAGTATCCCCTTGTGGTATTCTACTGCAGAGCTACGAGTATCCCATTTTGATATAGTTATAGGAGCCTGATCAATTCATTACTATGCGACCCCTCACTGTTTGTTATTATCTTGACACTATTGCATCGAACACCAATTCCAAACCTGGACCCTAGACACCTGAAGCCCCACACTGCTAAGGAGGGTTTGTCGACAAACACTCCAAAACAAATCAAAACCCTGAACCCAGAAAGCCTGAACCCGACTTCCGAAGCCGCTACCTGCGCCCTAAAAAAAGATAAACCTACCTTCTATTGCTGATAGATACAGTTTTTTCAACACTGTATAGCCGTGTAAAGCGCCATAAGCGTCTACGTACCGTGGTTATACCGGTATTCAGCCCTGTAGACCGACCCCACATACCCTATAGACCCAACACCACAACTCTATATCGATGAACCCTATATATAAACCCTAAACCCCTAAGTAGCCTCGTAAAGCCTGGAATCCCAAACCCGACAGGTGAAGAATGGTCTGCCAAAGGGCACCGTCCACCTCACAGACGATGGTGTCAGACAGGATCCTTGGAAGCAGGTGATCTTAAGATCAAGGAGATTTGATGTTCAGGGTTGATAGTTTAACGGCATTCAAGGGTGTCAGGATGATGTAGATTTCAGGCGTTAAGTGCTTAAGGGTTTAGGGCTTGGGGTTTAGAGAATTTTGGGTTTAGGGTGGGGGGGGTGTCTCACCCTTAGACATGAGTTAAGGGCTGGAGATGCTATTGGGTTGAGCAGGCTTTTGGATGATCTTAGCGGGTGTAAGGTCATGTGTACCACCCTAAACCCTAAACCCGGTTTAGGGTTTAGGGTTTAGGGTTTCTATAGAGTCACAGGGTCTCGAGGAACCTGCAATAGGGTCGGGATGATGGGTGGCAATACAATATACCCTTACAGTCCCTAGATTGCCCTAGACAGCTATCGTAGCATATACCGCCCGAACCCTGTGTTAAGTTTTGATTAGGGACCCAGAAAGCACATAAGCATAAGCTTTTTATAGGGACATCCCTACCTTATTGGGCTTCAATATAAGGGGTTTTATATGGGATATCCGGGTCCTAACTTTTGCTTATGTGCTTTTTTGGGGCCCTATTTGAGGCCACTATATCAACTGACCCTGTGCCCGAAGGGCCTTCTTCCACTTAGTGCACGTGTTTGAGCCTTTGCTTGACTCGCTGTGCAAAGTGCTTGACCAAAAGCAGGATGGGTTCAAACCCACATCTACAACAGCAAGACGGTACTTCATTTTTGTTGGTGTGTACTGGAAATTTTATATATGTATATATGTGTCCATATATATATATATATACATATGTACATACATGTGTATATATATATATACACACACACATGTCCCTGGGTGTAAGTTCTAAACTGTGAGACTCCTGCACCCCTACAACTTTGAGTTCGTATGAGTCTCACAGTTCCAAACCTCGAACCCTCACCCGACACCCGGAAGAGCTAAATAAAAACAACATGCAGGATGCCTGCCCCGAACCCCTATTTAGGGCTTTGGGTTGAGGGTTTAGGTAAACCCTAAAGCGCCCTGGAATACCTGGATTGGGGTTTAGGGCAAGGGGGCAGCTCGACCCTAAACCCTAAACCCTAAACCCTAAACCCTAAACCCTAAACCCTAAACCCTAAACTAAACCCCTATTAGGGGCAGGGGGGCAGCTCGGCCCGGAGAACTGGGGTTTGGGTTCTGGGACTGAACAGACAGTATCCTCGGGGTTCCCCAGTACAAAACCATTAGCTGCCCAAGCCACCCAAACCTTATTCTACTGCATTCTGCTGGTTCAGGCCCATTAGAGTGCATTTCCGAAACAGCACTCTCAGCCTAGGAATAATTGCCCGAAATGTATGCAAGAGTGTACCTACTCTTGTCCACACTGTCATAAAACTGGCGATCACCACAAAGACAACTGTCCTAGCCTTGCATTCAAACATCAGAAAAACTGTCTACAGAAAGCTGTCCCGTGACGACTTCTGGTGCAACTGTGAGCTGTAGTGTCTCTGCTGAGAAGAGTGTGAGGCATAAAAGCTGTTCTGAAGCAATGCTGCGGTGTTTCCAGTGTTTGGTGCCGAGCTGTGCTCGCTCTGCATGCCTTTGCGACCTCTAAACCCTAAGCCTTAAACTCTCAACTGTAAACCCTAACACTCTAAACTCAACCGTTGGTTGACCCCTAAACTAAATCCTAAACCCTAAACCCTAAACCCTAAACCCTAAACCCTAAACCCTAAACCCCAAACCCCAAACCCTAAACCCTGAACCTGACCTCGAACCCTTCAGAGAAAGGCCGCTCTGAAGCTGGGCGTGGAGTTTGCCCCTGCCGTCACCGGCTTCCAGAGTGAACGAGGTGCGTGCCTTACCCTAAACCCTAAACCCTAAACCCTGAGGGTCCATGTACCCAAACAGTAGATATGTTGGCTTCAAAGTACCCAAGTAGGGACCA